AGTAATTTATGAAGATGTTGAAGAGCACAGGGCTCGAGATGAATCCCTGTGGAACCCCACCAGTGACAGGTCTCCAGTCTGATGTTACCCCATTCACTATTACCCTCTGTGCTTGACCCATCAGCCAATTGCTCACCCACCACATGATGTGTTTATCCAGCTGTGGGCTGGACATTTTGTCCAGAAGGATACTGTGAGAGACAGTATCAAAAGCTTTACTGAAATCCAAAAAGATGGTGTCCACTGGCTTCCCTGGATCAACTAGGTGGGTTACCTTGTCATAAAAGGAAATCAGGTTTGATAAGCAGGACTTTCCTCTGACGAAGCCGTGCTGGCTGTGACCAATGACTGCATTGTCTTTTGGGTGCTTTTAAATACCTCCCAGAATAATTTTCTCCATAACTTTACCAGGCACTGAAGTGAGACTGAGGCCTGTAGTTTCCAGGGTCTTCCTTCTTGCCCTTCTTGAAAATCAGGACAACGTTTGCCAGCTTCCAGTCAGCTGGGACCTCTCAGGATTTGCAAGAGAGCTTTCGCAATGATATCAGACAGCTGTTTGAGGATTCTTGGATGAATCCCATCACACCCCATAGTTTTGTAGGGATCCAGCTGGAGCAGCAGATCCCACGCAATTTCATGGTTGACTGGGAGTTGATCATTATTGCAGTCATGGTCCTCCAGCTCAGAGCACTGAGACCCCCTTGGTCCATCATCTGTGTTGAAGACAGAGGTAAAGAAAGTGTTAAACACCTCTGCCTTGTCTCTGTCCCTGTTTGTGAGGTGACCATCCCCATCCTCTAACAGGCCGATGATATTTCTATACTGCCTCTTGCCCTTAATATATTTGAAAAAACTCCTTTGTTGTTCCCTACATTTTTCTGGCCAGCTTCAACTCCAGTTGAGCTTTGGCTGCACAATCTTTCTCCCTAAAGTGACAAGCAGCATCTCCATATTCCTCTCATGTCACTTGACCTTGCTTCCACTGGGGATACACCTTCCTTTTTGCCTTATTTCCAAGAGAAGATCCCTGCTCAAGCCAAGCTGGCCTTCTGCCTCACCTGCTTGACTTCTGACATTTGGGAATTGCCTGTTCCTGTGCCCTAAGGAGGTGATGTTTAAAAAGTGACCAGCACTGAGGGACCATAGCATCTGCAGAAACATTTTTCCAGGGGACCTTACTTACTAATTCCCCGAGCAGCCTGAATTCTGTTCTCCTCGTGTCTGGAGTTGAGGTTTTGCTGGCACTCTCCCTCCTGTTGGCAGAGATTTTAAACTTGATCACTTTGTGGTCACTGTGGCCAAGGCAGCCGCCAATCTCCACTTCGCTCAAGAGGTCCCCTCTGTTGACAAGCAGCAGATCAAGGAGGGCATTTTTCTGAATCAGCTCCCTTAGGACCTGTTCCATGAAGTTGTCATCCAGGTATTTTAGGAATCTTCTGTACCAGCTGTGTGGTGGTCTCAGTTAGTTTCTGGCAAATTGAAGTCCCTCATAAGGACAAGGGTAGTTGACTAAGTGTCCCTTAGTTCCTCAAAGATTAATTTGTCAGCATCATCGTCCTGGTTGGGAGGTCTATAGCAGACTCCCATGATGACATCGGCCTTATTTGTTTGCCCCTTGATTCTTAACCAGAGTCTCTCAACTGTGCCATTGCCAGCTGTGAGCTCCACACATTCTAACCTTTGAACTACCTGATGAAGGGAGATGCCAGACTCTTCTCAGGGGTGCGCAGTGAAAGGTTGAGATGCAATGAGTTGCATTAAAGAAAAGTTAGATATAGGAATTGATATATTAAAACCCCCACCCTTTTAACCATGAAGAGCCTCAAATGCTAGGAGGGGGTCCCAGAGAGGTTGTGGGATCTCCATCCTTGGAGATACTCAAAACTCTGCCGGACACGGCCCATCGCAGCCAGGTCTAAGTTGGTCCTACTTTGAGGGGTGATTGGAGCAGAGACCTCCAGAGATTCCTTATACCTTTTTTATTCTACAACTTTAAGATCCAGGCTAAGCCTCTCCACTCCCAATCTTCTGACATCTTCCCTCAGTTCTCCCCATCAGAACAGCATAGCAGAAAAGTTTTTCTCTGGCCTTTAGGGAATAGTCCTAGGGCAGTTGAATGTGCTTTTATACAAAAGACACATAATAACTGTCAAGACAGGAACCAAGTTTCTCTAGTGAGGTGTACAAACTGGGAACACCTTGTTCAGCAGAGTGACCACTTGCATCAGGCTGCTGATCACATTAACTCAACAGTGAAGAAAGTGTCAGACTCTGATGCCTTGGGACAGTCTCCCTTCTTAACAGCTTCAGGTGATGATAGTAGTGAAGATAAGAAAATATGTGTTACAATAATACTTGGCCCAAGAGCCGGTTCAACAAAGTTTCTTTTAGTTGTATATTTATGCTCTTTGGACTTTCTCCATGGTGCATTTAGAGCGGCAAAGCAGCCACTCTCAGGCTCTTTTAAGGAATGCATTCTGGCAATTTTGGGGTACTGCATGCAACAGTTAAGCAGTCCAAGTCTTCCAAAGGTAGGTAGAAGCCAAGCAATCACTGTTGTGCTTAGGGTGCAGTGTCCATGCAGGGAAAATAGAAAATACATGGAGAAATTGAAATGACAGATAGAAAGGCAGTCCATTTGCTAAATACTGCAAGGAATTTGTAGAAGTGGAAGTACATGGAGGTTAGAAAAGTATCTACAACATGACTCAACAACAGCAAAGGGGCACTAGAGCACAAGAAATAAAGAGCCATTATTTTTTCTTACAGCAACATCCTGCTGTCCAACTTCATGTCATATCTTATTGCTTAGTGCAATCTCATCTCAGAAAAGCTTCTGATGTCTTGCAAGGGAAAGAGCTACTGAGGAAAGAGGGGCTGCTGGAGACAGAGCTGGTGGTGGGACAAGACTGCAGGGCACAGAAACCGAATCTCTGGCCTATATAGGATGTGCATTGCAGGACTGGATTCAGTTCACCTTGACCACAAAGCAGATGAGATGACACAAGCTAAGGGCTGGGAGGAGATTTGAAGGTCTAGATAGGAGCATATTTCAATATGCCAAGAGAAAGCAGCAGTCATCCATCTGCATCATCAATCACAGCATCTAGAAAATGGGGTGCCATAGAGCAGCAGAGGAACCGTTGTTGGGGTTGTGAAACTCATTCCAGTGGGAAGCTCAGCACAAGGCAAGGTCAGGTCCCAGTCCCACTGTGGGAGTGCATCTGTTTGTTCAGGATCTATTTCTTGGGAAAACCAAACCCAGCCAATAGACAGAATCCAATCTTAGGCTATTTAATGGACTAATTTTCAAGAAATGGCTGAGGGAAGAAGCCAAGTGGGTAACTTCCTTTGCAAGGGGTGGTAAGTGCCTCCAAGTTCCACGTGTGTCATCCTGATACAGAAGGTAGAGTAGTCAGTGAAAACCCAAATTAGGCTAATACGGGGCCATCTTCAGGGCCAAGCTTCAGCTTTAATGAAAGAAGAGAAGCAGCTTTGGACTCCAGAGGTATTGCCAAAACCAGTCTGTGTTTTAATTTATAAGATATAAAAAGAAATATTAACTGGATAACAACACCATGCAGAACATCTCGTTGCTGCCCACCAGTCTATTTGAAATGTTTCTGTTGTACATGAGCATAAAAATCTCACATTTTTCAGGCATAATAGTAGGGCAGTTGCTCAGCATGGAATAACATGCAGATTTTCAGCAGAATTTGAAATTGTGCCATTGGACTGAAAAGCCACTGAGGGCTTTTTCTTCTCCCTGGAGACAAAAAGATCTGTTCCCATAGCCAGGTGAAAGTGGGAGCTGTTGGCAGCTCTGGAGTTCTCATAGTTGAGGGGGTGCTTGTTTAGTTGTTAGGCTTGTGTATCCTAAATATCCTCTGACGCTGTCAAATGCCACTTGAAAAAGCAGATATTTGGAGTCCTTCTGTTCATGATTAAATCTTTTCAAGGGTAACATGTAATGCATTATTGACCAGTTGAGTTAATGGAGAGGTTACAGTTTTCCAGCTCTAATAGAAGCATAATCTAAATTATTTGTTTTTAAATCCATTCTGCGGAGTGGTGCTGATGTGATTTTCATTTACAACCAATTGTTAATTAGGCCAAGCTTCAGTGGGCATTTCCTATTTATTTTGTCCTTTGGTCTTGTTTAGTCAAGTGTGTGCATGTGTGTGTGAGCTGCTGTTTTTCTGCAGTATCATTTGCCGTCATTTCACAGCCTGTTCCTGGGCACCTTGCAGGCAGTCTCTCTGCCACAGACTGGAGAAAGACTGCCCCCACCACCTATCCTGTCCACCCTTTGCTTCTCATGGTTGGACACGCTAGAGTCTGATAATGACACTTTATGTGCCAGCTTTCATGACTTGCTGATGATTTTAGTGAACACAGAAGCCTGTAGAAGACAGAAGGAGGAGTTGTTGGAGGGATATAGGAGCAGAAGAGGGGATGGATAGTGCAGCAGCAGAACGCAGTAACACTACAAGGGTTACTGCCCCAGGGACAATGGTGGATGGCAATGGAAAGTGATAAGGAAGTTAGGGGTGCCTCTAGCCCAGAGGTGCCTCTTGAGTTCACTATGGCCTGGGGCATAAAAGAGAGTTACTGAGTGGTTCCAGTAAAGGAGTGAATATGTAGATATATAAATACTGAAATAAATGTAGAAATACTGAAGAAGATTGGGAAACGTAAAAAAAATCCTGAAGAATTGCTTGAAAACAGTTCTATTTGGTCCAGGTTCAAGACCGCTAACAAATGAACTTCTCTGGCACATTTTTTTGCCTTCATTGGTAAGTATCTGTAAATCTCTGCTTTTTAAGGTTTATATGAATCAAATGATGGAGTGACCACTGCTCAGGCATGTATTTTGGAAGAGTGGTGGACTAGATACTTTCCACAGATTCTTCCTACTGCTGTTTATCCTGATGTCTTCTGTGTCAACGTTGTGTCTGAATATTAACTAACCCTCTTTTGTCACATCTGTCTTCTTGCAGGCATATATGCTGAAGTCATTTGAAATGAATGGCCTGCCCAAGGTAGTCCCTTTAAGTTTGCCTTATCAAGACTTCAGAAAAGACATGTCAGACTACTGGGAAAAGCCTAAAGTATCCCAGCGGATAAAGAAAGTTGATTTTTCAAATATTGTCTTGACTGCTCCTTGCAAACCTCTGGAACCTTATCTGGAAATGAATGGAAAAGAGGAGGAGGAAGAAGATGAGGAAGACTATGAGGAGGAGGAAGATGAGGAGGATGAAGGGGAGGAGGGAAGCAATGAGATTGACATGCACAGTGGTTCCAGCAGCGACCTGAGTCAAAAAAGCACAGAGCGCAGCCAGGAGTGTGCACCATCCACGCTCCTGGCTGATGACCAGAAGGGATCGAAGGGTCGAGCATCCACTGCTGACGGGGACGTGGAGCTGGAGGAAGGCTCAAAAACACTAGTGCTGTTTTCACCAGGTGATCTGAAAAAGTCTCCTGTGGCTACAGACTTAGCTCCAGAAGTTGATCTGGGCACTCTTGCTGCACTGACACCTCAGAGCGAGCGGCCTCAGCCTATGGGTAGCCAACTGGATGTATCTGAGCCAGGGACCCTGTCCTCAGTCCTTAAATCTGAACCAAAGCCTCCCGTGGCAGTGGCTACAGCTTCCTCCCCCTTTACCAAAGTTGAGCGCACATTTGTTCATATTGCTGAAAAGACCCACTTAAATGTCATGTCTTCCAGCAGCCAGCTGATGCGGCATGAGGAGTACTGCCCTCCGGGACAGTTTGAGGAAGTAATTATTGAAGAAGAGCTGGAGGACAACCTGGTGCTGGTAGAGAATGGAAGCATACATTCGGGGCTAGAAGGGGTGGAGACTGAGAGCTGCGCACTTTCAGCTAATCACATTGAAACCACCTCAGAGACAGTGGGGGAGCAGCTGGCCCTTCCCAACGGCATAGCAAAGCCTCCTGAGGACAAGCAGAAGCTCTCCAGCAAAGCGGTGCTCTCGCTGGATTTGGAAGAGCCTGGCAAGGTGGTTACAAGGGAGACTGGCCTTGAGAAGTGGGTTGAGAAGCCAGCATCAGTAGCAGGACACCTTAAGCGAGAAGAGACCCTCCTTGACACACCACAGCAGGGCCCCAGGAGGCTGCTGGGCTCCAGGTATAGAAGTCGGATACCCATTTTGTTCTCTGAGGAGGACACCGGCTCAGATCTTTCAACTTCACTCTCAGCCAAAGAACGGCTTTATAAGAGGGCAAAGCAACCTGACTTGGCTCGCCTGGTGATGGAGAAGAGACAGAACCGCCTCATCCGGCTGGCCTCTGGGGCTTCCTCCTCAGCCTCCTCCAGCGACGAGAGACAGCGAGCCTCAGAAACCCTGTCAGCCACTGGTTCTGAGGAGGACACCCATGACTCTGATGATTCTATCCCAAGGAAGGGAGGGAAGAAGGCTGCACTCCTGGGGAAAGAAGAGAGACCCATAAGCACAAAGAGTAGAATTCCTCGTCCTGTCACACCAGTGAAAACACCACTGGAGGCAGCAAGGTCAGAGATCTCCGTGGCTGTTGCAATTGCAGGGCTGTGCAACTCCCCGCAGGATGCAGCTGCTGTCTGCAGGTAAGATGAAAACGGTGAGAAATGCGAAGTGTTGGGCTTTTTGAGGAGACAGAGCCATGGCTCTGCTCTTCTCCCATGACTTCACCCTTCACTCAGCTTGAATGGATGGTCCATCCTTGTTTCCTACTGTCATTTCAGCTCAGCGGTGTGTGTAATTTTCACCTCTCTCTCTTCTTTTTTTGAAGCCTCTCTTCACTTGCCCTGGCTTTCCTTCCACAAGCTCTTTCACTTGGTCTGATCCTGCTAATAGCAGGTGCCCCTTGCAGAAACTCCCCTTCATCCTCCTTCTTTTCTTCCCATGCAGGCTTCAGACACAGAAATCAGCTGGAGGTGTCCCAAATGAATGCCGAATAACGCAGATACAAAGCCGGCTTCCTTCTTCACCGAGTTCTACTTCTCTTCCTCCACGGAGCAGCTCACGGAGGTCCAGTGGTGCATCCCCTCGGAGCCCTGTCCTTCCTTCAAGGAACCCCAGTACATCCCCCAAAAGCCAGCTGCCACCTCGGAGGGAAAGTCCTTCTCCCTGCCGACAGCGTAAGCCAGGGACTGCTCCTCAGCGAGTTCCTCCTTCCCCCCGACCTCAGCCCTCAGCTCAGGCTCAGGGGCCAACAGGAGATTCCCTGCCATCTCCTAGCATGGCCAAAAAACGACAAAGAGGAAAAACCCAGACTCAGAGTCCAGCAACCAAAGGAAAGCAGATGTCCCTGGAAAGTAAGGCAGCTGCCAGATAATGATCTTCTTCTGCGAGCCCAACACACTGGGTAACTTCTGAATATAGTATACACTTGAGATGCTGCAGCACAGCCTTCCATGCTGGACCCACGAGTGTATAGCAGTAGCTGTACTTCAATGCTTCACTCACACTCTCACCCCACACTGCAATCAGCTCCCATGGGCCTGACAGCCTCTGAGCCACGGAGCCTTCTTCAAGGGAGACATCCAGCCCGCAGCTCACGCTTGCTAGCGCACAGCACCAAACAGTGACCCCAGGCAGCCTGCCCAGTGCCTGGCCCTCCTCCCTCGCCAGGGATTCCCCTCTCTCTGTTAGCAATACCAGTCTCCAACACCACCCCCAGCTGTGGAAAGAGGAGCAGAGGAGAAGAGAGCAAGGCCTGCTAAAGAGGAAGGCTCCTGTCCTTCAGGCAGCTCCCTCCTTTCTCCTTGCTGGGAAAACACCAGCCTTGGGCGCTGCCATCTACCTGAATGTTGGCTCACCTCCTGCCATCTCTGTTAGCAGGGGATTGTCTCCAGCTTAGCCAAGAGGGAGGGATGTGTCCTTGTGTGCTGAGAGAAGAGAAGCAGCAAGGTGGAGGGGTCTCTTCTTTCCAGAGATCCCTCTACAGGTGGGCATTGGGAGACAGGCAGTTCTTGCTAGATGCTCCTACCTGCTCCAATATGTCCCACAGAGGATGCCATCTGGCATTGCTGCTCAGTTGACACTGCTGCTGTTTCAGCAGACACCTGTGTGGTGGGTACTCAGGTGGAAGTAGGGATGCAGCTTGCTGGGAAATCAAGAGGTCTTGCTAATTAATGTAGAAGGGAGCACACTGCAGCCACTTCTGTCTCAAACACCAGACTGTGATCTGTGGACACTGCATCTCCCAACAAGGGTGGTCCCTCTGGCCCTGAGTGTGGTTGGTGCCACAGACCTGTAGTCCACCAAACACAGCTCCATCGTGAAGATGTGAATAGTCACTGGATGCCTTTAGCTTTGGTGCCCCTTGCACCTAAATTTCTTGTGTTTTATTGTCACGCTCTTGGTGTTTGTGAATTTTGGCACTGTGGTTGAAAGTTCCCCTACGTGGCAGGGTGGGAAATTATTATCCTGTAGTATACCCAAAAGATGCTGCTTTGCAAGGAGAGGTTTGCTGGCACGCTGTGGATACCCTGTGCATTTCTATCCAAGAGTATAGTGGGTTGAGTGGCAGAGGTCAGGTTTCTGTCTTTTTCTTGGTGCTCAACTCTGCCACATGTTGCGTCAGCACTAACAGTGTGAACATAAAAGTAAGGACTGTGCTCTTCAAGTAGTATTATCAGAGCAGAAGCTTAGCACTCAGCTAGAACTAAATCATTCAACTTTTTAGCCCCCAGACTAATTAGGAAGGCTTGAAAATAAAAGTGAGGAGGACCTGGCCGCATTTGAAGAGATCTTGAAGTAGACGAAATTTTCCCCGCACCTCACAGGAGAAAATAGTCCAGATCCAAATAGTTTGGGCTTCACACCATTGTCATGCCTAAAAGAGGCTCTGCATGAGGCAGAACAAAAACAAAGTTGCTCTGTACACCTATTCTTGCAGCTGCAACTACCTGCAAATATTTTCTATTTGCAGACAACAAAGCCTGATGAAAGGAGTCTGGACAGTAATAACCTTGATTCATTTGGACATGAATACAAGCAGTCACACTGATGGCTATTGAGTCCAAGAAATCCTGAAGTTGTTCATATCTACAGGATATTCCAGGAACTGTCCTGGAAAGGAGCATGAGAACTGTGACAGGGTGGCTGGGAGAAAAGGGTGCTCCTTGGACACCCAAACAGGGAAATGTCTAGAAACAGGACACAGGAGTTACCTCTTTATATGGCAGTTGCCAATGCTAAGAATTTATTTCACCTAGTTCAAAATGTTTTCCAATGACATGGTTCATCCTGGTTGGGTAAACAGCAGAGCTTCCACTCTAGAAACACATGCAGAGCAGCATTGGCAACTCAGAGGGAACTCAGGCTGTGGTTTGATGGACTGTGCAGATGTTGCCACCAAAAGCAACATTCCTCCAAATTCCAGCTGCCTCATTGCACTTCTACCACCTCACAATGGAGCAGTTATTTGTTAAAGTGTCTGGAAATGCTTATCCAGCATGAAAACAACAGCTCTGGTTTTCTGGTTTGGTTTTCATCTGGTTCAGTTCATCAGTCAGGCTCACCATTTGGTCACACAATAGAAGAAGGAGAGGACAGAGAGTGTGACCACTTCTAGTGGCACTGTAATGTCATATGAGTTTGAAGTGTGGGTCAGAACAGAACCTAAATATGTCCTGCAGGTTTAGAAACTAGAAAACAGAATAAACACAAACACAGATTCTTCTGAGAAACATAAATCATAATGGGACTCCTATTAATTTATCGGAGGGCTATTAATTTTAGTGTGTTCAGATGGTAAGACTTTGTCGTGAAGCCTTTACCAGATCTCCATCCAGGTCTTAGATGCACCTGCCAAAAATGACACTGAAAGAGCTTGGAAAGAGGACTACAGGACTATTGACAGGGTTAGCAAACCTGCCTCATCATGGGAAGCCAATAAAGCACAATCAAAGTATTTGTTCAAGAGAAAGTTTAAAGGAGAGTTTTTGGCGGCACACCTATACCCGTGTCAGGGAGGAAGCTTCAGGGCAGAGACAAGGTCAGGTTGGACAGGGACCTGAGTAGCCTGCTCTTTTGGAAGGTGTCCCTGCCCATTGGGAGTGGGGCTGGAACCAGATGATTTTACAGTCTTTTCCAACCCAAACCATTCTAGGGTTCTATGATCTTCCATCTGGCACATGAAGGAGGGAGTAGCTGAGAACAGCAGAGGAAGAAATTGGGCAAGCTTTTAGTTGTGAGCAATCCTCCAGTGAAACTCCTACAGAAATGTGGGGACTTTTTCTTACTAAAAGGTTTCTAAGAAACCGAGCTTTATTCTAAGGGGTCTTTCTACCATGACCCAGCCACAAGTAGCAGGCAAGATGCTGATGACACCAAGGTAGCATCTCCTTGTGGTGCAGTAGATTCCTGGTCCCACCAGGACTTGTGCCAAAGCTGTCATAGGCTGGAGAGGCATGAGACAAGTCCCACAGTTTTCAAAAAGCCAGAGAAAGATCAGCAGCACAAAAAATAACAGCCATTCCCAGCACTGTTTGACAGGGCTGGGCTGAGGGTGCAGCTGAACCCACAGAGATCTGGGACTAGCATTAGTCATCTCTCCTTGTGGTCATGCTACCAGACTCCCTGCCCCAGCACCTTCCTGCTTCCCAGCTGTCTCTGACATGGAGCGGAGCAGGAGAGTGCATCAAAAGCATGGTGTCTCCAGGTCATGTCTTCTGGGGTGGTACCCCAGGGTACTCCCATCACTGGGGAGCAGCACACCCTGTTTGCAGGAGTTCACAGTCCTCTTGTTTGTCTCTCAAGAGGCATTTTCTGGCGGGTGGATCAGCAGGGATACTCTCTGTTAGTATTACGGGGAAAACAGTCCTCTAAAAGGGTTAACAACTCCTCTGGCTCCTCTCTTCTTCCACTGCCCTGCAGGAAAGTTGGAAGGGCAGTTGGAGCAAACACAGGAGATCATGTTTGGGAACAAGAGGGGAGGAAGCTGTGATGTTAGGGAGAAGTTAAGTGGTGGAGGAATGCCAGATGATCTAGTCTGGCCTCACAGAACAGGATGGGCTATCACATCCCAGAAAGGTGGGGAGGCAAGATCCTGCTGTTCTCTGCGATGAGTCCTGTGCAAACTCTGTCAAGCCTCGAGGACACATGGGACTGCTCAAATACTGCTATTGGTGTGTAGCTGTGTCCTTGCTGCACTGCAGAGGAGAGAAGATTGAAGAGAAGACAGTGCTGACCAGAGCAGAGGAAATGTCTAGGAAGAATAAAAAACCATGTGTGGGGTCAGGGAAAGAGAAGCAGGTTTCCCAGAACTTTCCCATGTTTGTGAGAATTTCTAGAAACAGCCTCATGCTACATGGTTCCCATCAGTGTCTTTGCTTCAGGGTCTGTCCTGGCCAGCTGCAGGTAATCGTGCCCATGTGTGTTTTGAGGGAACTCCTGGGACAAGCTACCACTGTGCCTTCATCTGTGTGTGCATTGGCATGGGCAGTGGGAACAGACAGGTCTAGTTCAGGGGAGCTTTATGGGGTCCCATATGTGTTGGGACTGTAAGTGTCTTTGGGACTGCCTGGTGTCATGCTGAGTCTTCACATTGCAGGGGTTTTATCTGCCAGCCGAGAGAAGGTGGCACACTGGTTGGTAAAAAGAGTCAGTGGCTGTTGCCTGGTCAGGAGTTGATTGCAAAGAAACAGGGATACAGGGGGGATGTGCCAAGTGGCAAATCTGAGTTGTCAGCGCTAAACCAGTGTGACAACAGATTATATGAGCAGAAGAAGAAAAAGGACCAATGCCACCACTCAGACTAATACCATGGAGAGGCTCAAATACACGGATGGATGGAGCTGCTTAACTGATTTGTCTGGTTGGCAGCATAAAAACACTTCTGCTTACCTTCGTGCAAAAGGTGTTTTGGTAACAGATGTCTCTGAGTCAGTTGTGCTTGGAATCTGTGAGGGGCAGGAGACTTTCTAAATAAAGAATATTATAATATATATGTTATTATAACAATATAATATAACTAGTGACCATTATATATAGTGGCTAAAGGTTAAAAAGGATCCTGCTATTTTCAAGGAAGTCTTCTGATACTGTGACTTCTAATGTGTGCAGGACTGACTGCTGTGTGCAGTGAATGTGGGTGGAGGAACAGGCTACCACCCTACCAAAGTGCATGTGAGCTGTGAGGCTCCACTTGCCTGAGCACGAACTAGGGCCAAAGCACCACAGCTTGGGGGGTTGGCAGCTGTCATAGTTGCCATGTGACCTGTAATAGCTCCTGGAATGACATACATCTCTGTGGGGCATGGACCAGGATCTGAAGTGTCACTGCTGCCTTTGACTAACACAAGCATTGAGAGTTTGGTGGTGAAACATTTCAATTGAATGCAAGTTGTATCAGGGCAAGAGAATGTTTCACATTTCTCCTTTCCAACACAGAGGTGTTTTCTCAGTGTAGATCCTGCTCCAGTAGCAGCTCAGTGGTCCCTTAGTGCACTTCTTTCTTCTCTGTATAGTTTACTGACCCGTGGCATGATCCCACCACTATTCTACATGTATAGGCACCAATGCTCACCTAAGGCCTTGCCCTACACATCAATCACCTGCAGTTAAATTAATCTTGTGAACACAGTAAAAGTCCCATTGTGGACATGATGAGTCTGGTATCAAATGAATTTCTTCTGGCTTAACTGAAACATGCCAGTGCTTTATCTGTTTTCCAGCTGCTCTTACAGCTCCACAAGAGGGAGAGAGCTTGGCCTCCTGTTCAGGCCCTTTCCTCTTGGGGTGCCTGCTTGTAACTGGGCTTCTGGGTGGAAGCCTGTGGGCTCACTCTGTGCTGGTTCCCGAGGTCCTCTGCAGAACCCCCAATAGTTGTTGTGCTCTTTATTAGCCTGTTGCTGCACTCCAAGGGTCTGGGACCACGCTGACAGTGACAGCAGAGCCAACTGACGTTAAGCCTTCCCTATGAGCTTTGGCATTGGTATCTTTGTGAGGCCAGAGAATATCTGTTGTTGCCAGCCTGATGTGAGCTATGATCCGGAGTACAGCCAAAATCCCATGAAATGACAGTGATTTGTACACCATCACTCTCCTGTCCCTTCATTCCTAATGTATCTCCTCTAGCAAATCTTGTCTTCAAAGTCACCATATACTCCCTGCAGGTCAGCCCCTCTATGCTTGGGGGATTGAAGCCCTCTTGGATTCTGCAGAGCTTGAGGCAGACTTGGCCACCAACCTATGCAGCATGCCCTGCACCATGCAGGCCAGTGCTCTTGGTCATAAGGAGGAACATCCCTTTTATTTCTGGAGCTGCAAATGTCTGGAAAGCAGGTTTAAAGTAAATATCAATGCCCTCTGTGCTGAAAGGAGGAAGGGAGCTACCAAATCCAAATGGATTCCTGGTAGGGACCGAGATAATAACTGCTCCTGCTCTTAGCTCCTAAACCAGAGGGGCCTGCAGGTGTGAGACCTCTGCTTTGGTGAGGGTACTGCTGGACTGGTATCAGCGTGGGGCTTCTCAGTTGCTGCTCTGCCTCTGGCCTTGTTCATATTGCCCCTGCCTGGAGCTCAGGAAGGTCTGACATGGGGTCACTGGAAGAGGCAGGGGCTAACATTTACTCAGCACATGGGTAGGTGAGGCCAAGGTGCATGGCATGGGCTCTGGGACTATTGCCTGCAGAGGGGGGATGAGCTCTGCAGGACATAGAGGTTTAGTGAAGGAGTCCAGGCTCAACCATGTGTGTGAAAACCAGTGTCAGCGACACTACTGTGCTCTGGGACCTGGGCTGCTTCTTCTCCAGACAGGAATTGGAGGTGGAAACACAGATAATTTTATATATCTCCTTCTAACATGATAGCATGGGATTCTACACTAGACATTGTATCTGGCACATCGATATTTTCCTTCACCTCTGGCACACTCTGGAGACAGGACTTCTGCTCCTTGGTACTGCCTGCCTGGAAATGTGACTGGGTCCAAAGGCTAAGTCTCTCTACATATCTTCTTTGCATTCTTTAGGAAAGCAGCTGGAGAATGTTTACACTCTGCAAACAGAATGTAGGACTCCGACTGAGGAACCACAATCCGGTTCAACTGCATGGCAAATTTCTTGGCCATAAAATCTGGCATGCATCACAGAGGCCCTGTCTGTGTACAGATCCACCTGGCATTTGTCATAATTTCAGATCGCATCTTAAAGAAAAATAAATGATGATGCCATTTCTTGTTCATACCAGACACAGTTGTCATTAGATTTGTTATTAAAAGGGGATTCTCGATCATGCCATTAAAAGCCTGTCTACCTTTTCATTGGTGTCTTCTCCTATTTATTGGTGTTGCCACATGTGAAGCAGAAATACCACCTGAATTGCTGCCAGGGGACCTTGTCTACAATTGTGCTTGGGTTTCATTCCAGCTGTGTGGCAGCTCTGCCCCCCCTTCCTTCTCTGAAACCTCCTGCAGAGTTGTGCCCAGGTTGTCATAAAATCTCCTCACAAGGTATGTTCTTTTTTTCCTATATCATGTCAACTCCGTTGGCTGTGACTAACCCCAAAACACGTGCTGGCAAGGACCAAGAGCATTACGTTGTTTCTATATGAGCACTGATGCAGCTTCTACCTGGTGCATGTAAACAGGCCTGCAAAAGCTCAGAGCTGTGTGATTTGCTGGCAGCCTTTCACTGTGTCACAGTGGTAAAAGTGGCTCTCTCTTCTCTAGGGCCTTCTGATTCATGCAAGCAGGCAAAATCAAAGGAACAGCTTGGAGGAATGCACCAGAGCGGGCCTGTTGCTATTCATGCAAGACATGTTCCTGCACGATGAATCTTGTTCACAACCACACATCAGGCAGCAGGCTCAGCCATCCAGTTCCAAAACAGCATCTTTCAGAGAGCAAAGGCTGCTTTTTTAACAAAATGAAACCAAACTAAAATAAAAATTTAAAAAGTAGCATTTGTAGAGATGTTTGCAGGACCTACATCTAGCTGGTCCATGCAGTCCAACTGGGACCTGCCTGGGGGATCTTCACTGAACTCCAGAGCTGGCCAGGGACAGTGTTTCACATGACTAGTCTCTTGCTCTTCCATTTTGTATGGTTTTCCCAATTTGAGCACCACTGGGATCATAACAATATCTCCCTGACCCTGTCTGTGCTGAGACCAACCAGCTGGGGCTGCAGTTGAACCTGCACATTAATAGGCAGGAAGTGGAGCAGAAGCAAACCAGTAATGTGGCATGGTTTGACTTTTAATACTCTTTGACAATCTGACATGTCAGTTGAGGACAACAGCTCTTACAACAGTCCTTTAACTGTGTGCAATTTGCCTCACGTCTATCGTGTGCAGACCACACGTAGTAGCAGTTTCTTATCTAGCTTTGGGAAGGGGTAGTTGAAGAGGGAACACAGAAGCTATGAAGGATTGTTTTCATCAGTTTTTAAGTTCACACCCTTTTACCACTGTCACTTGGGCACCTTTATTTGGCACGATGCAGGCAGGGTGAGGTACAGCTTACAAGCAGACAGCTGTCCTTTGTGGCCTGGCACGGGTAGGACAGGGCTCAAACTCATTACTTGGCTAAAGATTCATAAACTCATGGGGCCACCTCGCATGCACACAGCAGGTACACAATCTGCTGGCAAGTGGGTGTCAGTGTCCATGGCTCCCTGAAACAGGTTCATTCTCTTGTTGCTCAGTTTCCATCTCATTTTCTCTGCTGCCTTTTTTTTTTTTTTGGAGGATTTTGTCTGTGAATGCTCTTGCTCTTCAGTGTCACCATCTCAACAATGTTACCTTTGCCTGTGGAAAAACAATTTCAGTTGTGACTGAAATACCTATTTTAAACATTTGAGTTTATGGTAAAATACCTTAACTAGCATCATGGTCTAACACACAATATAAGTGCTTTTTCTGAGATTTCACATTATAAGAAACCTAGAGGGTAAGAATATAATCTGTCCCAGTCAATGTGATTTTTTGGAAGCTGTCTTTGTTAGGTAAGTATGGGCGCTTATTTTTTTTTACATTGATCATAGCTAATAGTATACAGCAATTGACTAAGCATCCAAAAAGCACTGATCCACAATTATAAACTGAGCTCCATAGTTCACAGGTGAGATCTGTCAAATAAGTTCTCCCTTGGAAAGGTGTTTCCTATGGCGATAGATTTTATTCTTTCTCCTATAGCCAAAAGAAAACACATTTGACTCTAGTGAAGAATCCAAAATCATAGAAAGAAACAATGGGACCCAAGAAGCTCCTTAAAGTCTGTGTCAGTATCAGGCAGATGAAAATTAAAGCTGAGCAGCATAAACTGGGAAATTGAGAAATATTTCAGAACTTCATGGATCGGCTGCCAGCAGGAGGGTTTGCAAAGGGGCTTCATCACCACCCGTAGACAGTGAAATGGGACATTCTCTGGAATACATGTTTGTCAGGCACAAGGTGCTGGGTACAATGTTGCCTGAGGCACTCTATCAAGTGAGAAGGTGAGTGGAGGAAGAAACTAAAACAGGCTGCTCTTACTGGAACAGTTCAAAGAAATATGAAAAAGACAGGTTTTTAGGAGGAGGGGGTATCATTACTTGGACCAGCTTTTGTTATTAGCTGGAAAAGCTAAAGAGACTGTTGGGCTCAGAGACCTTTCTTCTGCAATCACCTCAAGATATTTCAAGATAAGAAAAGCCCCAGTACAGACAAGGCAAGCCACAGGAGAGCCTCAAACTGCAGGGGAAGCCTGCACTGCAAGGAAACATGGCTCACACTTGTCATTCCTAGCCTTGCCTTCATCTACCTGCTAATGGCAGCGGGTAACTCTGATGCACTCTCACAGTGGGGCCCAGGAGTCAGCTAGACCCAAGGATAGACCTCCAAGCCTGTAGCTTCAAGGAAGCTGCTAGAATGTGTCAGGTTGCAGAGATCACATAGAGATGAAGAGACACTTACAGCATCTACACAGGTTTCATTATGTACAAAAAATCTCAAAGAGAAAATAATGCAAAGGAATCCAGCCATTTAAATTCACCAATTTGTATTTAAAACAGTGAGGTAAAGCCTCAGATTTAAAATAACAGGCGAGTCCAAAACCCTGTGTTATAGTGTCCACAGGCTCACAGCATAATTCAGGCTGGAAGAGACCCTTCCTCAGCAAAATGTATACTAATAATTTGGGCTGAATCTCTGCCCCGCTAGTTTCCCAACAGCACTGGTTAGGTGAAAATAGTTCCATGAGATAGGGGAAGGGGTAGGAAGGGGCATTAGTCAGGTCTGGGGGAGCTGTCTAGGAATCAGACAGCATGCAAGCACTGGCTGTGGACCCATGATCACACACAGCAAAAGAAATGGAAGTGGCTGATGTCCTTTCACTCTAAGGTAGGATCAGTGTTCACATTTATGATGGACAAGAAAACAAGCTTTGGCCAGGACCAGTTTACTTACAAAATAGTTTTCATTTGTTTGTGCAATCAAGTAAAATGGTTGCACACCAGGCTGCTGCAAGTAATGGAAAGTAGAGGAATCTGTTAATGTAGCACCAAGTCAGAATGGCATGAAGTCCCTTTCTTCTAATCCAAAACAAAGATCTTCAGGAGCCCCAGGACCTCTTTGTTGGCTGCACTTTCTCTTTCTCCAACTGAGCTAGAAAATCTGGTGCACACACATCCTGCCGAGATCATCCAGACACTCTGCTGCGGCACAGTGCACCTTAGACTGACACTGCAGGCATCCTGTGCTGACTTTCCCAGCTTTGTAGGGTTTTCCTGTCTAAACTGCCTTCGTAAATAATAGAAAAAATGGAGACTGGTGTGTGTGTGTCACATCTTCTTCCTGCAGGGCCTGCACTCATCTGCAGTTAGAAGGGGACATTTCTGCCCTCTGACAGCGAATCTAGCTCAGTGGCTCTGATGGACACATATTTTCATGGCATAACTTAAAGGGAAGGGAGGATTTTGAGATCTGTATCTGTCCTATAGGAGAAAATTATCATTTAAGCACCAACCTGCAAGAACTGATCAGATCTCTAGGTACTCTGCAGCAGTTGATATACCTGTGGAGTGTCTCCAATTGCTAAAGGAACAAATCAGCTCCTTCTCTCCTTTCACCATCCAGGCTATTACAGCCCCATAGAAGGTGTTAGGAAATTACTGCTGGAAACAAAAAAGCTAAATTAGTCACCAAATAATTTAATAATCTACCCTCTCAATAAGTAGTTGGCATCCTGAAAAGGAGAAGAAAGAACTATTGCAAAAGAATACAGATGTGAAGTAAAAAGTAAATTTCTTTTTCCAGCAATATACTCTAAAGTCTGCTCACTCTGCTGCCACGCACGTTCAAGCTGTTTGAGTCAGGTCCTGCATCTACTTAACCAAGTGGCATAGTCAATCACAGCGTTTGCACACAGGTTGGTGATTAACTCAAGCTGCTGACTGGTTAAAGGAACACATTTTGATTAGAGAAATAAAGGAATGTACATTTTAAGCAGTTGCGGTATGAACAGTAGAGCCTCAGGACTTGCAGAGCAATGATCCGTATCCTCGTTTCTGATGGGGAGGCTGGAGCTGCTTTGCAGTTTAAATATGCAGCAGCATATCAATGAGAGTTTCTGTTCCTTGCTCTTACAAGACCAGTGGTGAAGAAAAATAATTTGTCCTTTAGTTCAACTTCAGGTTAAACTGTAACCCTGGAGCACAGCACTGACAGGTGTCCCTGCTTCACTTCTGTGGTCTTCCTTCATGCTGGTCTCAGGATGAGCATGAAAATGGTTCATAGCAAAGACTGGGGTAGTACATTATTTAAGCATGGGTGACCAGGAATGCTGCTGAAAAGAGGAAAGATCATCTAAGGACACAGCATGGTGGCCTTTCCCTTGTAAGCGTGACTGTTCACAGCAGGAGCCCTTAAGAAAAGCTTTTCTAGATCTCTTCATCTCTACTTGCTGCTCTCCAGCCCCTTCTTCCCAGCCCTTTGCTGCAGGGCAGGGGCAGTGTAGACCAGCTGCTCTCAGCAGCACCTGGCAGCCAGCACCACTTGCACTTTACCTGTGCCAGTCTCTTGATGTGCCTGCATCCCAACACTAATGTCCCTGCTCTCCAGGTGGATGGTCAAACCGGAGCTTCTTTAAAGCAGAGCATGTCCCGGGGCAACAGCTTGGAGAAAGGTTTGGAATGACACATCAGTATCCACCAACATTCAAGACTGCAGGCTTAGGGACAGTGCAGACTACTAGGAGAGGGGTACAGAGTGTGGAAATGCAGTGGGAGATAACCTGTAGCAAGCTCTCAACAACACCACTGTTGCT